TATGGAAGACCCACAACCCATCGAGGCCATGCTGCACAAGCCTCTAAAGCTCCATCTCGATAACCTCCAACTTGTTCTACCGACTGGTGGGACCCCACAACCAACTTTCCCTCCTCTCTAGCCTATTTCCGGTGAACGTCGGAAATGGTGCTTCCATCGAGTTCCTGATGTAGAACCACTCACCGTGTCACCCCCGATTGGAGTCACATGGGGAGTACGTAGGGTAGGGGACCAGTGGCTTCGGCTTCTTTTGCAAGGCAAATCCCCCAACCGACGTGATTCTGGGTGGCTTCCCCTCGGATAGGGCTCACCCACTAAAGATCCGCCAGAAGAGGTCCATGTGTGGCTCCATCTAGAGGAAGGCTTCATAGACAATGATGAAGCCAGCGATGTGCCATACCCCAGTTGGGTTGAGGTGCTGTAGCTCCAGGCCCCACTCGTTGAGGAGCCCGCGCAGGAACCAGTGCACGGGATACCCGAGCCCACGCTCGTGGAAGGCGAGGAAGGAGATGACCTCGTCGGCCCAGGGTTATGGAACAACTTCCCCCAACACAGGAGCCCTCCAATGTGCCACCTCCTTTGATGGGAGCAGCCCCTTCTCGGTGAAGGCGGCCAGCACCTCATCATCCACATTGGAAGATCTCCAGTTCGACATCGTGTCTTGGATTTATGAATGAATCTATGAGTTCTCCTCTCCCTCGCTCTACCCTCCTCTCTCCTAGAAACCGACGCAACACACGAACATACTTGGCAAAAAGGAGGAAGGAGGAACGACAGCGGTTGAAGGAAGGCAAAAGAACGGGAGGAAAATCCTATCCCTTCCTCCTATTTAATGTGGAAAGGCATACGACGGGACATGGCCTTGGCTGATGAGATGCGCCCTGCACGATGAAACATCGCCCGAGTTAGCGGGACGTGGCCTGGGCAGGGCCCACCACTACCTCAACCCAAGCGTGAGAAATGAGGCACAACCACACGCAAACCACCTTCCTAGGTAAGGTTTGGAAGGGCCCACTAATAGAATCTCCATCGATGAGAGGCCAATGGGTCACCCGAGTAGATTGGACGGCTCTAGACGGCTGCCGAGAGACAGGTAAGAAGCAGTGAGATACCTCATGCGGGTTATGCCGACCCCGTCATGAACAATGGACACGGATCCCATTTGGACATATCTGATAGGAGCTCCCTAGACCCATCACTCGAGCCATCGAGGTAACCTTACCAAACCCCCTTTTTTCTAGTGCATATTCATTCATTTATCCATTCTCATGCATGCATTCATACATTTATCCATACATTCATCCCATACATCCAAGCATTGCATATGCAGTTGTTGCATCACAACGCTTCGTGTTGCGTCACGAAGCGGTAGTCGCCTCATTCGATATGAGCGATGACCGACCGAAGTTCGAAGGCTGACCCGCAAAGGGCTTGAGGCCGCCTCGCATCAAATACAGCCAAGGGAGAAAACACAGATGAGCCCCAGCGGCCCTCGCCCGATCCGCTCAGAAGCGGACAGGGTCATCTCGACCTTCTCGTTCGATCCTAACCTCGAGCCATGCCCACAGAATCTCCATCGAGGGGAGGCCAGCGGGCCACCTGAGTCGGTCTCCGAACAGCTCGGGTATCTACCGGGAGGCGGGTTAAGGAGCAGTGGAATGCCACATGAGGGCTATGCCGACCTCATTATGAATGACGGATCCGGATTCCACTCGGACTTACCCGTTATTAAGCTCACCGAGCGCGTCACTTGAGCCATCGAGGCAAGCGACGTTAGCTCAACCCCTCCAGTTGTGGAAACCGTGGACGGGGTGACGCACGAAACTAGATCGACCCCTCGTCCGCGCTCTGACGCTTGGGTTGACGCCGACACTTGGGTTCGCGCTCCATCTCGCCCGACCCCTCGGCCGCGCCCGACACTTGGGTTGGTGCTCCATCTCGCCCGACACTTGGGTTGGCTCTCTATCTCGCTCGACCCCTCGGCTGCGCCCGACACTTGGGTTGGCACTCTGTCTCGCCCGACCCCTTGGCCACGCCTAACACTTGGGTTGGCGCTCCGTCTCGCCCGACTCCTCGGCCACGCCCGACACTTGGGTTGGCGCCCCGTCTCGCCCGACCCCTCGACCGTGCACGACACTTCGGGTTTGCGCTCCGTCTCATCTGACGGCAACCCACGATCTTACACCCATAGGGTGCGCTCGTGAAACGAGTGTAAACAACCCCTTCACGACTTCACAGAAGTCCCAAAAGGGCTCGGGGGCTCCTGTCGGGTTTATAAACTCGGGGTCCCCAATGGACCCATTTTCCTACAAAAACTCGACCCAACAGACGGCGTAGCGATAACGCGTGCCTCCCGGACCGGTCCAAATACATAATGACAAGCTGGGAGAACGATCCGGTCCCTGACCGGAAGGCCTGGCCAAGGTGGGGATACAGTCCGACTCCAACCTCCTTTTTCGACCGGGGATACGCCGAACCTCTGTTCGTGGCTCTTCCCCGACCGACACGGTCGGGGCCAACTGGGAGCAACCAACCGGAGACACCCGCTCGATGAGGGCCCGGGGATCAGGCGGAGCAGATAAGGTAAGGCGCTCAAGTCAAACCGTAATACCAAAGACCGTACTCTGTCGTACCCTGCGCATCTGCAGGACAATGCCACCATGCCATGTCAGATGGGCACTATACAACCTTCTAGGCGTGTTAGAACACAAACAGTATTGTAGGCGCCGACGTTTGTCATACCAGATGAACACGGTAGAGCCTACCACATGCATCTGGACATAAATAGTATTATGGGTGCCGACGACCTTCTCATACCCGACAGCGTGGGACAACAAGACTAGGTAGCACACATATACATTCTCTCTCTTTCTCTGACTTGTAAGGTCATCCCCTTCGACTATAAAATGAGATGAACTCTCTCCTAAAAAGCTCTCTCTGACTCTTTGGCTCCTAAAAAGAGAGAAGCTAGACGATTCGAGCACTCGAGGACATGAGAACTCGAATAGCGCAATATCTCTAGAACTCTAAAGCTACACAGAGCATACGCTCCAATACTTAGCGCACGTTAGAGCCCACGTCACTCTCGGCCCTTCGATTCAGAGTCCGACCTAGCTTTAACACCCCTTCTTATTTCTACTCGTTTGTAACCCCACAGCAAACTTCGAGCACCTGGGCTCAGGAATAAAGTCATCAACAGACTGAAACTCGACGTAGGACACGTTGCCTGAACCAATATAAATCATGTGTCATTAAGTGTTAGGCCACATCCGATCACAACACACGATAAAACTATAAATATTTACTTGTTGGTCACTTTTCGCACCGATGGTATTATTTCCCAACCGAAGCAGCTCTGCCAAGCTCGACGTCGCTGTTAGCTACAGGATGCCAGTGTAGGAGTATCAGGGTCTTTTAGCTTGCGTGTTGGTCTCTGTGACTATTTCTATGACGCCAACTAATACGGGACACAGGGAGTAGATGCATACGCTCCATATGCCTACAAATATTTAAATGAATGAGTGAATATATAAGGCCCCGTTTAGATTTCAAAAAAATTTTGTGCATTACCCGTCACATCAAATCTTGCGGCAAATGTATGGAGTACTAAATATAGACGAAAAAAAACTAATTACACAGTTGGGTGAGAAATCACGAGACGAAACTTTTAAACCTAATTAGTTCATAATTAGACATTAATTGTCAAATACAAACGAATATACTACAGTAACCAAAATCAAAAAAATTTTGGATCTAAATGGGGCCTAGATGGAAGGGTGAGTCCCGAGGGCCGGAGGATCCAAACAAACAGCGCACGGAACGAAAAAGCTTCACGACTTTCACGAGACAAAAGAAAACATACGACCTGGCCGCAGATGCAGACGCAGACGCAGAGCAAGAAACACATACATACGACCAGAGCAAGAAAACAAAACGTACGACTTTCCCAGGGAGAGGCATTCATTCGAAATCCCTCGCCTCGCCCTCCTCGGCTCCTCTTCACCTCGCCGCCTGCTCGCCAGACGCGCCAGCCGTCGGCGCCGCAGCACGCACCGGGCAAGATCAGGGCGGCCGAGCCTACCCATTTCGCCCCCCTGCTCCGCTCCGCCGAGGTAAAGCCCTGCTCCAAGTCTTTGCCGCTTCATTTTCCGTGGGGAGTTTTTCACGGTTTTCTTTTCTGGGTGAAAGATTGGGGTTTCTTCGGGAGCGAGGGAGGGTGTGGGGAGAGGTTCTAGGATTTCCCGAAGCGATTCTGCTCGATCGATTCAAATGCGGGCAAGCGGACGGTAGCGCAGGGGTTTCAGGGGCTTGAGTGCGTGCTTTCTGGTTGGTTGCCAGGGTTTGAGCAGGGGTTTTGGTTAGTTTCTCGATCTGATGCGATTTCGTGACTCGTTGATGCGCTTCTTTCTTGGTAAATCTCGTTAGCCTTGCTTGTTTAACCCATGTAGGGTTCTTGACATTTTGTTTACTTCGCTAAAGGCACGGAAACTAAAAGTACAGAAACGAATGAAAAGTAAGTTCAGCGCAGACAACATATCCTCGCTATCAATGTGTACAAAATTTTCTCCTTGTGAAAGACATGCTAATGAAAGCTTGATATAAGCCTGCCTGAAAACTTTGAACAAGTCCATGAGATAACTACCTGAAAACTTTGAACAAGTCCACAAGACTTGAGAGATATTTGTTGCGTAAGTAGGATGACCTGTCTGGTCAAACACTTGAAAGCATCACCTGAGGTCCTAGAGACATCTATTTCAAAATCTTGTAACAGTATCCAATTATATTGCTAGACTGTGCTGGAACTGTAAGATTGTGCTTCTACTCAAGAGATGGTAAGGAAGTGATTTTGTGTTAACATTAACACTATCAATATTCAGTAGTTGCACATACTACTGCTTTTATTTACTGAGTATATCACTCCCGTCCTCTTTAAATCACATAGTAGAAATGAAAACATTCGTCCTTTTTTCATAGCAGGACCATATAATTCCAAGACCCTGATGATGGCCACAACTGCTTATATTGATGATTCCTGTTCGGAGGTTATTGATCCCCCAAAGACTGAGGTACTGGATGTTGCTGAACTCCCTGGTGACCATACTCAGCACCCACCCAAACCGAATGTGGTGGTGTCTAGCAGTGTGCGTGAACTTCTGGAATGTCCAGTCTGCTTGAGTGCCATGTATCCTCCTATTCATCAGGTGCACATTCATACTTGTCCATCACATGTTTATATCTATTCTCGTATTAATTATTAAATGAACCTGTTCAAATGTAGTCACTTGGATGAAAATTATGAGTTACTGGTTTAAGAGTTCCTTTCAGTATCATGAATTGCTATCACAATTTTAGTCTGACCTTTAATCTATAGCATTTAGAAACCTGAACTTTAACCTACAGTGTTTAGAAACCCTAACTTCTAAACACTAACTTCTAGTCTTTTTTTCTTTTTGGTTAGCATGGTGCAAAATAGTAACATGTTCTGCTTTTATATCTTTTATATTCAACTATGAGAATCTTATTTCATATGATAGTAATGCCATCTTTTGTCTATGCAGTGCTCTAATGGTCATACCTTGTGTTCCGGATGCAAACCAAGGGTTCATAATCGTTGCCCAACCTGTAGGCATGAACTTGGTAACATAAGGTGCCTTGCTCTCGAGAAGGTGGCTGCATCTCTTGAAGTTCCATGCAAGTACCAGAGCTTTGGGTGCTCAGGCATTTATCCTTACTACAGCAAGCTGAAGCATGAGTCACAGTGCCAATTTAGGCCTTATAGTTGTCCATATGCTGGATCTGAATGCACAGTTGCTGGTGACATTCCATATTTGGTAAATCACTTGAAAGATGACCACAAAGTTGACATGCACAATGGCTGTACCTTCAACCATCGCTATGTAAAGCCAAACCCTCATGAAGTTGAGAATGCCACCTGGATGCTTACGGTACTTCACACTATCATCAATATGTTGCTTAAAAATTTCTGTGGTTTTTTTTACTGTGGTTTGTTTCTGCAATGATAGAAGTCCATGTCTTAGAAACTTTTGTATACTTGTCAAACATTGATGTAGTGTGTGTTTATCGACTTCCATCCATTTGTAGCACATATACAATGAAGATGCTGACCATGGTACACGCTTGTTGGTCCAAAAATAAAAAAATATAGGTGCTGATCATAATACACACTTAAAAACTCAATTAGAGGGAGATATGTCCACCCTAACATTTTAGTTGTTTTTTTACAGTTTGCTTCTGCAAAGATAGAAGTTCATTTTTGTATCATGTCTCAGAAACTTTTGCATATTTGTCAAATATTGACATAGTGTGTGTTTATAGACTTCCACCTTTTTGCCACACATATACAATGAAGATGCTGACCATGGTACACACTTGTTGGACCGAATTAGGTGCTGATCATGATACACACTTAAAACACGACTAGAGGGAGAGATGTCCACCCTCATTTTTAAAAGGTAGAAGGTGAGAATAGAACCTGGTTGACTGGGTGACATACACCCTCGCTATCCAATTCATCTCAGGGGGATTCTCGCTTATTCAACTGATTTTTTTTCTTATACAAACATACTGCATATACGTATCCATCTTCATCCCTTTTCAATGAAAACGTCATGCTGTTATAAGGCGCGAGTGCATTACATTTCAGATTGCTTCTTGATTTGCTACCTTTTCTCACTGTTTTATGTGCAATAAAGAAAATGCTATTACAAAATCACTTCATGATCTGCTATAATTATCTCGTGCAGGTTTTCAGCTGCTTTGGCCAGTACTTCTGCTTACACTTTGAAGCCTTTCAGTTGGGCATGTCACCTGTCTACATCGCCTTCCTGAGGTTCATGGGAGATGACGCAGAAGCAAAGAACTACAGCTACAGCCTGGAGGTTGGGGGCACTGGGCGCAAGATGATCTGGCAAGGGGTGCCCGGAGCATCAGAGACAGTCACCGGAAGGTCCGGGATAGCTACGACGGGCTCATCATCCAGAGGAACATGGCCCTGTTCTTCTCGGGCGGTGACAGGAAGGAGCTCAAGCTGCGTGTCACTGGGAGAATCTGGAAGGAACAATAAGATGATGATCAGCTAATTGATCTCTTCCGCTCCGCTGCTGCCGTGAACTTATGAATCACACTGCAAAGAGCTTTTTGCCATGCGTAGGAATCGACAGCTTGTGATTCATTCCTTTTTCAGCTTCTTCTAGCTTGCTATTGCCTCTTGACTCCTGCAAGGTAGGTGCTGGTGGATGTGGATCATGTAGAGGTTGGTAGTTGCTACTGATGCAGAGTTCGTAGAGATTTCCTCTATTTTATTTGAACTGTCTAGGAGTCGCCATTCTGTGGTATAGGAGAATCTAATGGCAAATCATAAGATTGAACTGGTTTATGCATGAGAATTAAGTATGGTGAAAATGCTACAAAGAATCCTTCTAGAGTTTGACGGCGGTGTCGCAGCACTCATCGTTGTGGTGGTCTGGTGGATGTGGCCTCCCTGTCGCCGCTTTCCTTTGTCGCCGCCACGGATCTGCATTCGATCGGAGTTTGTGGTCCATGCCAGTACGCCACCGTTGACTAGCCGGACATCAGCCTGTTCGGAGCCGTGGTGGTCTGGTGGATGTGGCGTCCCTGTCGCCGCCACGGATCTGCATTCGCTCGGAGTTTGTGGTCCATGCCAGTACGCCACCATTGACTAGCCGGACAGATGATACGTGGGCAGAGGTGTGGCGGAGAGGGCGTGGGCGACGGAGCATGAAATGGAGAGAGGTACGGGTGATTCTAGAATGAGATATTCAGATATATCAAAACCTACTATTTGGAGATTGCAATATTCCGATTGAGAATACAATTCTAACACCCCCCCTAAATTTTACTATGAGAATGAGGTAGAATAAGATCCAGACAGGATCTAAGTATTTAGATGTCATTCTCATTTTTCTCAGCAGATTTAAACACCTCTGTGGACATATTTGGATACCATGAGCTAATTGCCAGCTAGCGAATTTTAGCTCAAATTAGCTCTAGTGTATTTAAATAGGAGAGCTATTTTTTAGCTATTTTTTAACAAGTTAACCAACTAGCTCGTCAAGCACAATTAATTTAGGCTAAAATTAGCCCAACTAGTAACTAGGTGATGAAGCACCATTAGAACAGCTCGTGGACTTCATTGTCAGTGCTCAATCAGGAGTATCCTCTGGAGGACTGGAAAATGGTGATGCTACAAATCAGGCAAAGACTGAATTACTGTATGGTGTGATGGAAAAAAAAATACTTAGCTTGCTTCAGATGGGCTTTACCGAGGAAGAGGTATCATCAGCTATTGACAATTTTGACCAGAGAGCAACTGTTCAGGAGCTGGCTGACTCAATTTTGGCAAGGCGAATAGCCAATAGCATTGAGCAGAAAGAGGTAAAAATGAATCTGATTTTCTAGGCGAGGCATAAACTGATTATTCTTCATACCAGCCCTCACACTCTGCTGTAAGCTATTATGACGATGACAGCAACAATACACGGGTTAAAAGGGCTAAGCCATGGTCTATGGGGCACTGTGCAGAGACAAGAGATATGCCTGTTAAGGTAGAACTTGAGGCAATGACACCAGGCCACCGTGCAAATATACAAGGTGACCTTGCTAAACCCCCATTTTTCTTGTATGGAAATGTGGTAGAGATCCCAAAAGACACATGGCATCAACTCAAACAGTTCTTATACAATGTGGAGCCTGAGTTTGTGAACAGTCAGTCCTTCTCCACTCTAACTCGAAAGGAAGGTTACATTCACAACCTTCCAGTGGAGAAAAGATGTGTCCTGGACTCCTGGTTCCAAAGTCTCCAATAACTATTGAAGAATCACTTCCATTCACCAGACAGTGGTGGCCCTCATGGGATACAAGAAAACATATCAGTGTTGTTACTACAGAGGTTGCAGGGATTGAGCAGACATGTGAAAGATTGGGGAGCATGGTTAGAGAGTCAAGAGGAGTGTTTTCACAAACAAGACAAATGCAGATTATACACCAGTGAAGGGTTTCAAACCTTATTTGGGTTGGTGGGGACAAGTTAGGCCCTTTGGAGCCTCGTCAAGTGGAAAGGATACTAGGCTACCCACATAACCACACAAATCTGTTTGAATTAAACCAACCTGATAGATTCGCTACCATGAAATATGCATTTCGGACTAATACATTGTCATATTTTTTATCAGTCCTGAAAGGCATGTGTCCAGATGGAATAAGAGTGCTATCCATCTATAGTGGCATTGGAGGTGCAGAATTAACACTTCATCGGGTAGGCATTCCTTTGAAATGTGTAATATCTGTTGAGGAATCTGAGGTGAATAGGAAAATTCTAAGAAGGTGGTGCTGTGGTGGTTGAAAACTGAACAAACTGGAGTGCTAAGGCAGCATGCGGGAATCTGGAAGCTCAAAACACATGTGATTGAAGACTTTGAAAGAGTTTGGTGGTTTTGATCTGATTATCGGTGGGAATTATACATCTTGCAAAGGATTGGTACTACAGTAAATACGACAATGAGCATGGATTTCAACCGCTTCTAGTATACCCGTGTTGCTAAAAGAGTAAGGACTGCAGTTGGACTCAGTTGATGAGTCCATCTTTGATGAGGATCGCACATCTTCATAAAACTAGCCTGTAGGAGGATGTAGAATCATCTGATCCGTAAATGTAGGATGCTACAAGTAAACTTTGATAAGAGGATGGTACAAGTACACTTGACAAGTCTTGGGACTTGATTATTGCAAGTAATTGACTTGTCCTTAAAAAAAACACTAGGGTCCTCCAAGACAAAAGCATAGCATTTGAAGATTCTGCGGTTACACATGAGCTAATAAGCTCCATGTGTTCTCGAATATATAAGATACTGAACTACAAGATCATCATTCATTTATCATGTGAAGAAGATAATGTGTTCCAACTAAGCTATGAGTAAGAGAAGTGCAAAATCATATGCACATTGTTTACAAGAAAAAAGGTACACACATGTTTCAGAGCACAACAAATGCTTACCGTCTAACAGATACTACCTAGGAGCCCAGCAAACATCTTTAAAAAAAAGGCAAAATAGGGGGAGATATGAAACAAACCATGCCTAGCACACAGTCTCCATTGCTTATATTGATGAAACCCACTCTGGTTATGAATGTACAATATACATTTTTTTATGCAAACACAAATATACATGAGAAGCCATATTGTGAGGGCCAGAAGCCATATTGTCCTTCCCAAAATGCTAAGAGCATATCCAATCTCAAACTTGTACCCGATCACAAGATTTACAACATACAACAGGCCAAAGAATCAAGGAAGGCTCCATCTTTTCTTGCCTCTATGTAGTACAACCTCTAAATCTCTAACGCTTTGGCTTTGGGCCTTCTTCCATGACATGAAGAAGGTTTATCAATACACATTTGTATACATGAAGTACTATGAGATGGCACCTTAACCGCCAGGCACTATGGATAGTACTCCAGATGTGACAACTTCAGGGCCAAGAGCCCATTCGCTATCCTTTCAAAACACTGATGGCATACCCAATACCCCATTCTCCAACTGTATGCACAATATACAGGAGCAGCCCAAGAACACATGGAAGGCTCCTTCCCTCTCTCCACTACCTCTAATCAAGCAATCCTTAGGTTCTTGCATATACTACTATTAACAATTTAACATGAAAAAGTTTATATGCCAAACAAGCTATCAAGAACAGCAATTGGGGCAGCGTACCAAGCCATTCTCGTTGCACTCTATGCAGCGGCGGGCACGCCCCTCTTCCTCCACGAACACCTTGCGCGAGCCGTCGCAGGCGGGGCAGGGCGCGAACCGGAACCCGCCGCAGGCACCGCAGACGAAGGCCGGGTCCTGCCCGGGAGCGCCCTCGAGGATGCGGCGGAGCTCGCCGGACTCGTGCAGCCTGCGGACCTCGTCGGCGCCGCCGACGAGCACGCCCCCGACCAGGAGCTGCGGGAGCGAGAACCCGCGGCCCCGGGCGGCGAGGACGCCCTGGAGCTCCCGCCGGAGCGCGGCGTCCATGGAGACGTCGCGCTCGTCCACGGCGACGCGGAGCCCCCGCAGCGCGGCGCGCACCGCGCAGCAGTCCGCGAACGTGCGGCGCACGCCGCGGAGCGACGTCGTGTAGAGGACCACCGACTGCGGGCGCTGCGGCGGGGTGGGCGCCGGCGCCGGCGGAGGAGGCGGCAGGTGGCGCCCCTGGTACGGGTGGTGGTGGTGGTAGGTCAGCGATCGGTACAGGTGACGGGGCTTCTTGTTCTTGGGGCACGCACCCGGTGCACCGCCGCTGACGTCGTCCATCTCCCCGGCCTCCGCCGCCTCCGCCTGGGAGTCGGCCCGTGAAGGGTGTTGTTTAGGGTTCGGAGCTCCGGCGAGAGGAAGGGGGGAAACGAGGTGTGGCGATTGGGGAAGGAGAGGAAGGCGGGTTTGGTACTTGGGTGCAGTCCAGTCCTGGTGGTTTGTGAGTAGGTTGTTGCCTTGTTGGTGACGAACTGACGATGGCGATGAAGCTTTCTGCTAACGATATTTTTGCCAGCTTCTGAAAACCTTGCATATTATGGTCCATTAAATAAGCTCGCTTTAATAATGTTCGAATAAGAAATGAATTGGCTCTCTCTTGTTTGCTTCAATTAAATTTGTATGACATCACTATCCATGGACCATGGTTGGTCAATCTTTACTTCATCTCTAGAAATGTTCGTCCAATGCTTGTTTATACTCCAATAATGCTATTGATTTTGTTCCTTTTACACTCTTTTTTTAATTTTGATTTATCAAGAAATCAAGCAATTTGTGATGTCGTATGTTCGAAATAACTGAAAATAATAACATTCCTTGTCTAATCATTGCACTTGCACACCCTATACCAATAAAATAAGAAAAGAATAAATACTATGAATTGAATTTGGCACGAAGTTCATAAAGTTCCGTTGAAGTACACACGAGGCCTACATATCTTAGTGTCTTTTGAACTTTGAGATATTTTTTTAAGGTAAAAACTGTGGGGAGATCCATGTAGCACTTCATTTTATAAATTTAAGGGTGAAACGGTACAAACTTACAACATGAGCTAACTGAAAGCATCTATCCAAAAACAAAAGGTTGATCTTAGATCATCCTTAAAAAGAAGTGAATGAAGTAAACATTGGTTTTTAAAATTTACAAACCTACCTCCATGAAAAAAGGAATGTTTTGTTGTTGCCTGGCGTGCGCTATTCTCGGGTATAGGCTGAGACATGTGTTCCACTGCATCCCTACCTTCTTCCAGCACCTCTTGGAGAAGGGCAATTGAAAAAGAGATGGTTCAGATCCTCATCAACCCCTGCTGTGCATAGGACGCAGTGTTCATCATCTTCATCAAACAAATTCCTCCTTCTGAGCATCGCCTTGGTGTTCAGTCTATCAACTAAAACTAGCCAGGCGAAGAACTTAACTTTTGGTGTGCATTTGGATTTCCAAGGCCAAAAGAAGGCTGGGTGCTCCGACAGGCTCTGAAAAGCTAGCTTGTAGAACTTACTCGAGGAGTAAGTTGCATTGCTCCACTGATATGTCCAGGTATCTTTCTTCATCAAATGTTTGTAGCTGTAGGAATTCACCTTGCATTTCAAGCTCCTCAAAAGCCTCTTGTGAGATCGGCAAAACAAAGAGTGCCACGTTTGCTTGAACTTATCAGTCCGGCTTATCAGTTATGGTATAATGTTTTTCTCTTACAATAAAATAACATTAGTCGGCTTATCAGCCGCAGAAACCATCAGCTGAACAATTCCGATTCAGCAGCCATGACTTTACTGACAATTATATTTAGATTCTTGGCAAAAGAAAATAACCTGGGGAAGCGATGCGCTAATACCTCGTCATCTGGCCAGAGATCATCTAAAAAAAGGTGACAGTCGTGCCATCGTCAAGGGAACATCAAGCAATATTTCTAAAAAGAGAGCTCAGCCTCTGTACATCCTTCCACCAAAACGATCTAATTTCTTTGGTGGCGCGTGGCACTTTGTCAGTGTAACTTTGAGAGATTTTCGAAAGCCGTATGCCTCCTTTTTCATGCAACCACGACCATAACGTACCCATGAGGCCCGAACAGTATACTCTGAGTGGTGGGTCTGGGCCGAGGCCCTGAGCCCAGTGCCCAGACGACTTGACTTCGCCTCCCCTTCTCAAGCGGATAACGGAGCCGGTGTGCAAGCTCCGGAGCGTCAGGATAAGAAAACCGCGCGGCGGCAGGCAGCTAATCCTGCGACTGCGAGCGCCCGTCCATGTCGTCCCTCTCCCCTTCCCTCCATCTCCCTTGGTACGCTACGCCCCCTCTTCCTGCACACCCCCTCTGCTTCCTCTCAATAGTCAATACACCTCCCTCGCCGCCTCGGGCACGGGCTCCGTTGGACACCACAGCGTGTTCGGCTGGCTCTCTCGCTGCGATTTTGTTCTCTGCCAACCTTTGCTGAGGGCTGAGGCTGCGTCGTGTTTCCAAGAGCCGGCGTTTTCTTGGTTACTGTCGTGCTGCTCCGCCGTCACATCAAAATCCCGTTAAATGCAGCCATCAATCGTCCTGCATTTCTGTATCCGTAGGAGAAGTTTGGGTTGGCAATACTGTATCTCAACGAGTCAAATGGGGTACCAATTTGGATGCGTGTCTTACAGAATCAATACATGGTGATTCATTTCGCCTATACCTTGGATGTAGGACCTTGCTTTACTTGCAGGGGTAGCTGATTGATAATCTGCCAGCTATATGCTTTTATCCACCTGATATCTGGAGCCCTGTAAACTCACAAAACATGGTTTGATATTAATGACAATTGACAAATACCAGTAAGTTGCCCCTCTTAGCACTGTTCTACAGTATAGTCTCATGGCCATGAAAGCATACCTTGGGTTTGTAGTGACAAGGTTCGAAATGCAAAGGCACCATTTAGTAACCAGTTTTGATATTCGGTAGCTTTTGCTGTTTTGTCTTCGGAAGTTTAGACTTTATACCCCATCGGCCCATCTTTCTAGTTAGCAGCAAATGTTGTGCTGCACATTCATGTTTTAGATCCATTTTGATGTATTAAAGCATTTGAAGCAAATTTATGCATTACTTTTATTAGGAAGGCTTGTTTTTTCTTCTAAAGCTCAATATGCAAATTTTACTGGAGCTCTTACTTTCTCTGAAACAACCAGCAATTCAAGAAATGGCTTCCTTGGAAGGACACATGGGATTCGTCCTCGTGTTTTCCCTGCTGGAAGAGTTGGATTTGTCAGAACAGTAGTGGAATGCAAGGAATCTAGAATTGGAAAGCAGCCGATCGAAGTCCCATCTAATGTTACTCTGACATTAGAAGAGCAGTTTGTCAAAGCTAAGGGTCCGCTAGGGGAGTTATCTCTCAGCTTTCCAGGTGACGTGAAGATTGTGAAAGAAGAATCTGGTAAGCTGAGAGTTTATAAGACTGCAGAGACCAAGAGGGCGAACCAGATGCACGGACTTTTCAGGTAAACATCAATTGGGAGCTACAATATGAGTTTGCCCATATGATTTTTTACTGATTTACTTCTCATAATGCGGTTCATTGTTTCACTAGATTTGTTCCTTGTTTTATATATCTTCTCCTGATATTCTAAAAGTTAGATGCCAACTTCTGTATTCTCTACTCTTGTCAAAACTCTTATATTTGTGCTATCACTTTGTACAGTTAAGAGCAGTATTGATTCCCATGGGTATTTCACGGTGATACTACCAGTGCCTTGAATAAGCTGTATCACACTTGCTATTTTCATATGCGAGTAGATAAACTGTCCTATGATCCTACTCTCTCTTACAACTACAAGGATTCAGATTCTAGATAGCATTATTCTGGTCCCTGTATTTATTTGCTTCTGACCTCTTGTCTCACCAATGACCAATAAATATGGTGGCCTTGGTTTATTCTAGACCTGAGAAACAACACTTTCTGCTTTTAGTGTTCAACAAAATTCACCAATCAATCTGCATTGAAATAATATGGCCACAGTTCTAGTAGGACTGACAAAGATTTGCAAAATGAATGCCTATCTTCTTGCATTTACCATTGTCTGTCCGGTATTGGTAGGTACCAAGGAAATAGGTTATGCTATTGCTCCCTTCTGGTGTCCAGGAACTGTAAAATCTGTCTTATCTTAGGACTGACAAAGATTTGCAAAATGAATGCCTATCTTCTTGCATTTACCATTGTCTGTCCGGTATTGGTAGGTACCAAGGAAATAGGCTATGCTATTGCTTCCTTCTGGTGTCCAGGAACTGTAAAATCTTTCTTATCTATAACAAACATCATCAAGTGTCTTTATCACTTCCGCTATGATTTATTGTGGTACTATTTGGACCCACCTTGGTTAAGAGACACACATGTTAGGTGTGAAAAATTTACCATATTCTCTATCTGTGTGTGAAAAATTTACCATATTCTCTATCTGTCACTAGCTATGTTTTTTTCTTCACGCTTCAGGTAATCCTTTGCAATTTCACTCACAGTATGTACATTTTCTTTGCTTAAGGATCAATGATCTCTCTATTCTTTACTGAATATATAATCTTCTATGTGTCCCGATTATAGCTTGGTTAGAGAAATCAGGATATGGATTTTTTTTATCATGTCTCACCTATCCTCCGTGTCTTCTTCTAAATACCCTGGTGCAAATATTCAACGCAGAACATTGACAGACAACATCATCGTTGGTGTGTCAAAGGGATTCGATAAGAAGCTTCAGTTAGTGGGTGTCGGGTATCGTGCAGCGGTGGAGGGCAACGATCTCGTGATGAACCTGGGATTCTCCCACCCTGTTCGGATGGCCATTCCTGAAGGCCTGGCAGTCAAGGTGGAAGAGAACACGAGGATCATCGTGAGCGGTTATGACAAGAGCGCAATCGGTCAGTTTGCTGCTACCATCAAGAAGTGGAGGCCACCTGAGCCATACAAGGGGAAGGGTATCAGATATATGGATGAAGTTGTCAGAAGGAAGGAAGGAAAAGCTGGGAAGAAGAAATAGAAAGTTTTTTTTTTGCCCTTTCCATACTTCATTTCTTTTTTCCCACTGTAACGATCTTCTTCTGCTAAGGACGAACCTAAGAAAAATCTTGTTCTGTGCTGATCATGGCGTATAGATGTACACTTTGAGCATCCCATGGTTTCATTGTCTTTCAAGGTCTTTATTCTGGTCCATGGGGGTGGTGGGGGTGAGTAGCACTGGTCCTTATCCTGCATGCGTACCCTGATCAATGTGCAAGTGACAAGTGTAGGCAAAGCAGGATATGGTCTTATTATAGCATGATGATACCTGCAAAATTCCATCCGTGGACATGATTTGACCAGAGGCTGTTCCACAAGTTCTGGCAAGAAGGGCCGACAGTTGCAGTGAAAGAGAAGAATAGGATCGCTGTGACAGGTTATGAGCGAGCCTCGTCTCTAATCATCCTTGATTGGAGAATCATTAGAATGTTGTATTCATAGCCAAAGGCCAAATCTTCGTGTTTGATTAGGATGCTCTGGCAAACTTTGGGGAGGCATTTCCAGATTTTGCTAGCCGAGGAATTCAGTATTTACTTGAGGTGTGCCTAGTTCCGAGACGAAGGCGCGCGGCTCTGTCGCGCGTCTCGGGCCACTCACCCGCACGGGGCCCCACCGGGTGTCAGACGCCCGGCCGGGCTGCCGCCAAGTGGCCGCCGCCTCGCGTCCCCGGCCAGGCCCAGCCTCGCCTTCCCTTCCGATATCTCTTCTTCGTCTCGCCGCCGCCGCATGCGCTCTCTCTTGTCCCAGCACTCCAGCAGTTCGTCCAGTCCCTGGCTTCTCTATCTCTAACGCTTGTTGCTCTTGGCCCCGCGATGGCGGTGGGTTGCTTCAACCCCGTGCTCTCGCCGCTCGTTCCTTCGCCGCCGGGTAGGTGCGTCCGAGCGGCGCTGCGGTCTCACCCGCCGACCGCGGTCTCCCTCCGGCTGCTCCCGTGCGGCGCGGCAGCTGGTCGTGGCACGTGGCGGCTCGCGGCGGCGGTAGAGTCGCAGACCGTGCAGGAGCAGCCGGCGCGGACGGAAGAGTCCGGTGAGGCCGGCGGGGCAGGTGCCCCCGAGGCGTCCTCCAAGCTGGTTCTTGTCGTTGGCGGAACCGGCGGCGTTGGTGAGATACCAATATCCCTGCTCTCCGTTCTAGCATTATTTAGCATTTTCCCTATTAGAAGTAAGATTTCGTGGCGAATTTCAGCTCCTAGACAGTAAAGCTGCAGAGCTCATTTGTCTCTGAGTTTGACAATATCTTAGTGCCAATTATGTGTTTGAAACACGCGAGATATTAACATGTTTGTGTTGCATTGCAATCTTACGTTTTCTCCAACTTGTATTGCTGTGTCCTGCAGCAGCACTTCTTAGCGTTGCTTACTAGATCAATTGGCAATCTACTGGCTGAGTAGTGAGTACATCCTTTCAGGGCAGTTGGTTGTAGCATCGTTGCTGAGCAGGAACATCAAGTCAAGGTTGCTCCTAAGAGATCCAGAAAAGGCATTGTCCCTATTTGGCAAGCAGAATGAGAGTGTACTGCAGGTACATCTGGATGTTCAGCATTCCATCTCCCCACCCTACCCCAGTTGTCTCCAAGAAAAAAAAATACACTTGTAGCGACTCCTGCTTATTTGAGTTTATCCTTCATGTCAGGTTTACAAAGCGGACACAAGAAACCCTAATGATTTGGATCCACAAATGTTTGAGGTTGGTCCCTTCCGTTTCTCTGAATTCATACATCTATCTATGGGCTATCTATTTCTGCAATGATTGAATAAATCAAAATATAGGGGTCTCTTTTCTAGGGAGTTACGCATGTGATATGTTGTACTGGAACTACAGCATTTCCGTCTAAACGCTGGGATGGAGATAACACTCCAGAACGTGTAGGTATGTACTGCCTGATATTCTGCAGTTGGAGTTAAACTTTAACCCAAGATATCAGTCAATGTTAAAGAACATACACTTCAGACAAAATATTTTTGGGCAAGGATAATCTTGATGGAAAATATTACCTTTCAATTCCAGAATGAACCAAATAAAAGGCTGAAATTTAGCTGTGACAGAGGCCTAATGAGTTATTTATTGGTTTGAGCTCTAAACATCCATTTATGTGTTCATTATGTACATTATTCTTCTGGTCAAATCACGCGCACCTGTATGCTTAGTCATTTTAAGTCGATGCATATCAGTGACTATGGCTATCCATTTTTATCACATATACAAGCTAAAAATGACAGTTATGGGTGAGATAGTGTCTTAGTTCACTGATCACACACATATTTTTGTGACAGATTGGGATGGCATCAGAAATCTTGTAAGTGCCTTGCCACAGACAATCAAGAGACTGGTTCTTGTGTCATCTGTTGGTGTTACAAAATACAATGAGATACCATGGAGGTATATACCTTATGATTCTGAAGAGAAATTTCAGTATTTGCAGTTGAACTTCATGACATCATAGTATGATAGTAATGCTAAAGGCTACCCTTTTAAAACAATATGCAAGACATGTTTTACGTGTAAATCCTAGTTTTATAAACAACTTATATTAGCTAATTTAATAATTAACTTCCTGTCAGGCAGTATCCTTGCCTTTCACCTTGATATTAGTATCTACCACTGAGTTTTATGTTACCATAAGTTTAACCTTGGTCCTTGAGCAATCATGCTATGTATTTTTCAGCATCATGAATCTCTTTGGTGTGCTCAAGTACAAGAAGATGGGAGAAGACTTTGTCCGCAATTCAGGGATACCATTCACCATTATCAGGTATATGCAGGTTTGTTTACAGAAAAGTGTTTGAGCGGGCACATCGTGGATATATTATTCTGACATGATACAAGCTGTTTGCAGGCCTGGAAGATTGACAGATGGGCCCCACACTTCGTATGATCTTAATACACTTCTTAAAGCTACAGCTGGAGAGCGATGAGCAGTAGTCATAGGCAAAGGTTATTTCTTTTGTTCACCTGCATTTTATGAGGAACCTTTTGTTTTGATAAGATCTTTGCTTCTTCTAACACTTCCTCATATCCTACTAGGTGACAAGCTTGTGGGGGAAGTTAGCAGACTTGTGGTGGCAGAAGCTTGCATCCAAGCTTTAGACATCGAATCCACTGAAGGACAAATATATGAGATTAATTCAGTGAAGGTACTCATTTTTTTTCTAGAACGGATACAATTAGTTATTGGCAATTAGCTAATTATCATCAGGGCTGAATCAAGATATAATGTGATTAAGTCCCTGAAAATTCACAATCTCTTTTTATTTTCTCAAACACACAAGAGAGTTGTGTATCATTTAATTAATAGAGGAAAGAAGTTGTTAGCATATATGCCCTAACTGCCTTATGATTACAACATGTGCCACTAACCAACTGAGAAAGACGAAGTCCCAACAACGTAAAACCTATTCTGGCAGAAGAAACGACTGTAGTTCTCTTCATCCCTTGCCCCTGCTGCCTGCTGTACACCAGTGATCCTTCACTAAGCACTTCTTGCAACACTTCTTTTTGGTTCCTGACTCTGAAGATACAGCATTGGATTTGTAAGCAATGAAGATTGCGTGGAATATTGGATTAGATTGATTGAGAGACCTATGTACATATATATAGGGGATGGGAGATCTCGTGGCTTATAGAAACAGGACCAAACGAGATCTCATATCTCTCTAACCATCTATAGGGCCGGCCGGCTATACCAAGCGCAGGCCCATACCATATACATAACACGCCCCCGCAGTCACAGCGTCGAGGAGTCGGACGTTGAGACTGGACCAAAACTCTGTGAAGACTGAAGCTGGCAATCCTTTGGTGAAGATGTCGGCGAACTGAGACGTCGTCGGGACGTGAAGGACGCGAACAGCTCCAAGGGCCACTCGTTCTCGAACAAAGTGAAGATCAATCTCAATGTGCTTTGTACGCTGGTGCTGAACGGGGTTGGAAGACATGTAGACGGTACTAATGTTGTCACAATAGACCAAGGTGGCTTGGCGCAGGGGTGTATGCAGCTCAGCAAGGAGCTGGCGCAACCAGGAGGCCTCAACAACGAATTGGCAACAACATGATACTCATCTTCTGCACTTAAATGGGAGACAATGTTCTGGCGCTTGGAGGACCAAGAGATCAAGTTGTCGCCAAGGAACATAACATAACTCAAAGTGGACTTACGGGTGTCGGGGCAGCCAACCCAATCAACATCTTAGTAGACCACAAGCTCAGACTGACTAGAGGCGCGCAGATGAAGACCCAAGTCCAAAGTGCCACGAACATAGCGCAGAATGCGCTTTAATGCTGCAAGGTGAGGCTCGTGGGGATCATGCATGTGGAGGCACACCTGCTGAACGGCATATGCAATATCCGATCGTGTGAAGGTGAGGTATTGCAAGGCGCCAGCAAGACTGCGAAAGTCGGTAGGATCAGAATAGGAACACCATCAACAGACAACTTTGGGTTAAGGTCGGCCGGAGTGGAACATGGCTTGCAGTCAGCCATGCCAGCACGATCCAGAATGTCCAACATGTACTGGTGCTGTGACAAGAACAACCCTGAGGAAGTGCGCTGAACATACATACCCAAAAAATGATGGAGCTCACCCAAGTCCTTCATAGAAAATTCCTGTTGAAGTGCTGCTATGATGCGACAAAGCAGATCCGTGGAGGAGGTAGTGAGCACAATATCGTCCACATACAGCAAGAGATATGCAGTGTCGCTGCCACGATGGAACACGAATAGTGAGGTATCTGTTAGTCGCTGAATTCTCACTCTTGGTAGTAGGAGAATTCTTACTCTCATCGAGAGAGGATGACACTAGGAGTTGGGGCAATTTTCTTGTCTATTTCTCACACAAATGCCATACCAACCTGAGGGGTTGGGGTTACATATTTATAGGCTGCTAGCCAGCCAAGCATATGTCAAGATGCTAGTCTAAGATGCTAGTCTAAGATGCTAATATGCTGTCCTAGCTAAGATGCTGTCCTCTAGTCTAAGATGTTGTCCTCTAAGATCTTGCCCTCTAGTCTAAGATGTTGTCCTAAAAATGAAAAATAGCCACAAGGACCATGTGTGAGCAACAAAGCCCCACAAAGACCAACCACACATGACTTATCCATCATTCTCCCCTAAGTCTTGTGCGTCGTCTTGTGGGAGAGTTGAACCATCCCGGTCTGGAGCAGAGCTCAAGGAACTTGATCCTCCCAAGGGGCTTGGTGAGCGGTCCATAGTCTGGTCCTTGGTGTTGATGTAGTTCGCCTTGATGCTCCCTTCCTCCAAACATGACCTCGGATGAAGTGGTACCTCACCCGGATGTGCTTTCTTTGCGTTCGTGGAACATTGTGGGCAGAGCGGACTTGTTTGTCCACCCCGAGCTCCACCGCCTAGTGTCTCTGCCGAGGAGATCACCAAGCGGTCGAGCGAGCAGCGCTGAGTCGAAGCGGTGGAGGCCGCTATGTACTCGGCCTTGCGGTGGATAGGCCACCACTGCCGCTTGACCGATCGCTAGCTAACGAGGCACTTGCCGAGGAAGAAGAGGATCCCGCTCGTGCTCTTCTTTGGTGTCGATGTCGCGGGCGTGGTCATTGTCATTGCATTCCGACGGCGAAGTGTGCCGCCCTAGGACACCTCGGGTAGTAGAGAGGCCGTGGTCGAGAGTCCCATAACGTAGCGGATGATCCTCTTCACTGACATTGGTGCTCCGTCGTCCGTCATTTGCATGAACCGACTAACGAGCCGACGGAGAATGCCAAGTCCGTGGAGTGTGTGTGGGCGAGGTAGCGAAGGCTCCCCACAAGGCGCCAAGATTGTGAGCGCCCACCTCCTCCGTCGTCTTTGTCGCGGCTCGCCGACCTCTCCTCCAATTGGGCGATCGGTGAGCCCAGCTAGCTCAACGACGCGCTTGGCGTAGGGATGCGTCAAGCGTGATCCGTGAGTCATCTGGTGCACCTCGATTCCTGTGTAGAAGGAGAGAGGCCTCGGGTCACTCATCCGGAAGGTGGCCTTCATCTCTTCCTTGAATGCCGCCACCTCCGCATCCTTGGTGCCGGTGATCACCAAGTCGTCGACGAGACACCCACCCGCCAGGCATTTCCTCCATTGCCCGTCGGTGTAGATGGTCGCCTCGTCGCGGGCTTTGCTCGAAGCCCATCCCTTTAGCATGGAATCCAACTTGGCATTCCACGCCCTCGGGTGCCGCCGCAGAGCCATAGAGGGCCTTGCTTGCAGCGGAGCACCTTGCCCTCCTTGCCGGGGATCGCAAATCCCGTGGTGGTCTGCACGAGACCTCCTCCTTCAAGTCGCCGTTAGGAACGCCGACTTGACGTCCATGTGGTGAACACGCCGACCTCCCGGGCTAAGCGCAGGAGGAGTCGACGGACTCCATCCGTGCCACGGAGCAAAAGCGTCGTCGAAGTCGACCCCCTGCTGTGCCACGAAACCTCGTGCCACCAAGCGAGAGCCTTGTGCTTGACGATGGATGGCGCCGGCTTCATCCCTCTTCAACTTGTACACCCACTTAAGGGTGATCGGCGGTGACCACGAGGAAGGTCGGCCAAGCTCCCAGTGCGGTTCTTCTCAACCGCATCCATCTCCAATCGCATCGCGGTGGCGCCATGCAGCGTGTCTCGACCTCCGCAAGCAGCCGAGGCTCGTCGCCGTCACACGCAAGGTGCAAGCTCGCGCCTCCTGTGTCGTGAGGCACCGGTCCGACTGCGGTGGTCGCCGAGAAGGTTCTCCACCGCGACGGTACCGCAGCGGCTCACCGGCGTGGTGTGCGCCGCCGGCGCTCCTCGTCGTGAGAGAGAGCGGAGTAGCGAGCTCAACCGGGCCGTGCTCGACACGAGCCGGTGGTGGAGTAGACGCGTGCGGAGTGGTGGTGCTGTCGGTCTTGGAGTCGCGTGGCGTGCTTACCGTGGTGGAGCCGTGAAGAGCTCATCGCGGCCCGAGGTCTGGCTGGAGAGCGTGGTCTTTGTCGAGTAGCAGTCTTTGGGGTCGGTGGAGGCTCGGAGGCTGAGGGTAGACGCGCCGCCAAGAACCGCCTACTCCCCAGCTCCTCGAAGTGGGCGTACTCGATAGTGAAGTCGTAAAGACGCCGGAGCCGAGAGCCGTCCATTGCCTTGTCCCACGCCCATCTCGCCGCCGTCGAACACAACGTCGTGGCCAGGCGCACACGCCGTGTCTTGGTCGAGGATGCGGTAGGCCTCGAGCCCTCGCGTAAGCCAAGCGAACACTCCCGGTGCTCCGCCGCCGAGCTTGCCGATGTGGCCAAGCTCCTTGGCGAATGCGAGGTACCAAGACCCGCAAGTGGGAGACCGCCGGCTTGCGCCCATGCCAAGGACGCGCCCCGTGGCCAGCGCTTTGGTAGGCGAAGGTTGAGGATGTAGACGGCCGTCACCACCGCTCTCCCGGAAGATAGCCGGCAGATCCCCCTACGCTTGAGGAGGGCCGAGCCATCCCCACAGGGGACAAAAACGCTGATTCTGCTGCTGGCAGACGGTGGCGGAGGAGTGGTGGCGTGAATGCTCTCGTCGCAGAAGACGATGCGAATTCGGCCCGCCGTGAATTCGCCGCCGTTGTCAAAGCGCGAAGACGCGCAGACTCTTGGGACGCCGCGACTCGCCTCGCAGCGGCTTGCCAGCGCTACCGATGGCGTCCATGCCCTCTCTTGAATGCCGAGGACCATCACCCACATGTAGCGGGAGAGGTCGTCGACGAGCGGCGGGAAGTAGCATCGTCCTCCCGTGTGTGGCCGGTGTCACCGGGCCACACAAGTCCCCGTGCACAAGCTCGAGCCTCTCCTTGGCTCGGGAAAAGCTCGCTTGATGAGAGAGAGTCGCCTCGCATCAACACGCAGACGTCGCAGAGCTGCTCCACATGGTCGAGGCACGGCAGCCTCGCACCATCTCCGTGGATCGAGCCGCTTGGGGCCTCAAAGTGAAGG